CGGACGAATAGTACCAGTCTCTAGAAGGGCCTTAGTAACGTCCCCTTTTATGGTAATTTCAATTTCTCCTAAAGAATTAGTAAAGAGAAGGGAAAAGACCCTCACAGAATCCTCGGGGTGCCCTGTGCTCACTTCCGTTTTCGTTTTTCTAAATCCCATTTCATTTTTTCACAATCCTTCCTAAGGTGACCTGACTCTTTCATCCTAAGAACTGACTTCTCTCTCCCTTCGTCTAAAAGACTTCCGGGGAGGTCTGACTTCCCTGCTTCATTCCTGAAGCTGAAAGTTCAAGATTTTGGCAGCTTTGTCTTTTTCTCCCTTTTGAATAGTTTCAGGTAGTTGATCAGCCAGAATTGCCAGTTCCTTAGCATGCATGATTCGCCAATTCAATTTACGTCGTTTAATCAAAGTTTTAAGTTCTTCCTTCAGTCCTTCCAAAAATGCCGAATTTAAGGATCATCAAAATGATCCTTAAAACTGTCTGGAGACAAGACCTGAGTATTGTTTCAAAGTTTTTTTGAAATGTCCCAGGAAATCAAGCGCCGGTACTGGTCTCTCTTTCTCATTGTTGGATCTTGGTCCAGTCCATGTTCCAGGGGGAAAAAAATCTCAAGTATGGCTTAGTAAAGCCGGTGGGATAATTCCCTGCATTTTTTCTCGTCTGTCTCTCTGTTTTTAAAAAGTCCTCTACAGGAGTTTCCCAGCAAACCTTATTTATCCATTCCGTTGCGTTCCTCTTGGAAACCAGTAGGTGCATTAACTGGAACAGACCAGCATGGCCAGGATCTTACGTTCTAACGGTTAAATCGATTCCTTTGTGAACCTATCAGGGTTCCCAAGAGGGTCGGGGGTATCTTTAGGTAGATTCTTTCATTCTGTTCTCGTCCAAGGAACATAAACAATCGCTGGTTCCCCTCTCCCGGAGGCTGGCTTTTCTCCAAAGGGAGCTGCCAGAATTTGTTTTGTTTTTCCCCTGGTCTATCCTGTTCTGGTTTTCCATTCTGAGTCTCCCCTAGGTCGATGGGGAGCGATGGTGGAGGAGGTGCAGAAGAGAAAGCGAAGGAAGGGGAGGAAAGGAGAGTGAGTCTAGACAAAAAAGTAGAGGTCAACTGGGCACTCGGAGAACAGGGAAAAATGGGGCGTCAACACTGAGCAGCTTCGGAAGCCTTCTTTAGTTCAGGGAGTCTCTGGCGAGAGAATAGTCCCTCTGTGCTCCGTTCCAGAGGCTTCTGTTTGCCAGCGGAGGTAAGCCTCCCATTCATTCAGTTTGATTTTAAAGCTGGCTTTTTTTTTTCCTATGGCATGTACAAAATAACAACAACAATAATAATAATAATTTAAGTGTTAAAAGAGCTCCATTTTGGCCATCTTAAGTTAATATCGCTTCTCGTTAAATCTTCCCATTTCTGTAAGTACTTGCAAGTAAAGGTTCCCTACG